GGTCTTATCGTCGAGAAGTATGGTGCAGCCCTGCGGGAGATGAGATTAGCAATCCAGGCTTGAATTGCACCATCGTATCCTTACATTACTTATTTATTACCTAGTGTTGTATTTCAGATGTATCTCGGTACGTGTGCGTGTACAATTTTATTTTGAGCGCACACATTATTTGTTTATTTATTTAATTGACGTGTACATTTAGTTTGTTTACTAACGTCTTAATTTTACTTTGCGTTATTTTCCTCACTTATACATTGTCCGTGACTGTGCTCACATGGTGGGTGGCTCCTCCTAAAATGTTCTGCAATTGGTATAGGATTTAATGGAGCCGAAACCAATTGTGGAATTGCACGCATTTTAGGCGTCCTACTGATGAACAGTTGCGACACGTAGATATATATTTTTTAGCAACTAAGATAATTTGCAGTCTGTCTACTTTGAATAACATTTCTGACTGTGTAATACTTCAAAACCGAAATTGCATGCTTAAGAGAAAATGGAGTTTGCAGGTGCTTCTTGCAAGCCTGTAGCAGAATTTCAAAGCTGAAAAGCACACCAACATTAGCACAAATTAACCAGAAATTGTATAAGTTTGTTATGTTTGGTTGTTCAGCCAGGTAGGCACCACGCATACTGTACTTTTTATCCTGTAATAGCATAATAAGAGTTGGCTTCACACTTGAAAAAAAAAACCTGAGTATACAATACCTGAGTATTACATTGCCTGGCTGAAATTATCCAATTGAACTTTTCATGAACAGCTATGACGTCCACGTCTTGCTATCCAATTTCTTAGTAAAATGCTGTTATAAACATTTTACCAACAGAAATGGCACCACCATTACAGGATTTTCTATGTTTAACCTTGTCTTTTGGCACACTTTAATAATTGTGAGGATATTAATGATGTTATTGAAAACAAGCTGGATTCTGTTTCTTTTAACCATACAAATCTTCAAAGATGACATAAATTTGTTGGCAAATGTAACTTTCCCTTATAAAACTTTTCTACAGATCAAGTTCAATGTCTGAGTCACAACAGGGACTGGAAATTTGTGACATCATTAGTGCAAAGGCAATTAGCGCTGTTAACTTGGGATAATATTTTTTTAGGCAAACGCCCTTGAAATCATTGGAAATGGAAGAAGAGATGAAGAAAAAGGAGTGTTAGACAAAATGAGGTAAGGAATTTAATAATGAACTTTGTATGTAACACTTTGAGAACTGCAAGGGCTACCAGGGTGCAAAAGTCATTTTTACAGCTTGCTGAAGCTAGCATTTACTAGGCCAAACATCATTGTAACTAGCCCCAAAAACTTTTTGATGAGCAGAACTGATTTCACAGTTCTTCTGTAATTTGAATTGCTCAAAAAACATCACTTGCCAGTTGGGCAAGTTGAAAACAGACTTCATTAGCCAGTTAGCAAAATCCACTAGCCCTGGGCTTAATCAGACACTACTTTTTTTTTACATGCTGTTACCCATTTTTTAAATCTAGACAAAATAATGATTGATGGATGCCAAACTCACAAATGGACAATCCTTAAACAAGGTAGGTTTGTGAGGTGCACAAAATGCGTGCATTCTTTGAGTGGTGAATAATAAATTATTTTACTAATAATTATTATACCATTATATTAAGTTTGCTTTTCTTATGATAGCAGTTGGGATGAAGCTTGAAATGCTGCACAATATAACCCACTGTGCATATAACTAACTAGTTGACATTTATAATATTAACTACAATTTTGAAAACAACTGTGAAGAAATTAAGCTTTCCATGCCCACAGAAACATCCAACAGAATTCATCCCCCTCCCTCCCTCTTACTTGGGTAAAAAAATCAGTTTTTAGCAGGGGTGGAGGGATGCAGGGGGAGGGGTAAGAAGAGGGAATTATTAAAGTCACCTCCGTAAAACATTCCAAGCTACATGTATTGCATTACTGGACTTACTTTGAACTTGCTTGGATGTATTCAAAGAGTGTCCTTCCTTCAAGCAGTTCAGTCTAAGATTGAAGAAATTCATTTTGATGCAAAAAGGGTGTAAGTTATGCTTGCTAAATATTTTGAACTTGAATTGCGAACTGACCTCTGAGGGAGACAGGGAAATTGATTCAAGATTTCATGCTTCCATATCCCTGATCCTGTTTATTTTGTAAAGATTGCTTCCTTTTCCTCTTTTGAATGTACAGTGCTTTCTATCCAATTATTTCCTGATCAGTTTTGGCTGTAAGGTCATATATACTTCTTAAGTGTTCTAGAGACAACCTTTCCCCGTAGTCTTTAGGGGAGGTGTTTATGGGACTGTTTGGGTGGTAAGGGAATTATATGGGGTGTTACACGGGGGATATCTTGGTATGTTAAAGTGATACTTCTGAAATGTTTTAGAGAAAACCTTGCCCCTTAGTCTCCAGGGGAACTAGTTGCGGAACTGTTGGGCAGTATGGGAATTATTATGGGGTTGAACTCAGGATATCTTGGTATAGTGTTAAAGATGACATAGTCTAACACAGTTTATGCCTTCTATCAGGCACAACTCGGGAACAATAAGGGAACCAAAAGTGGAGGATGCCAATCTAGAATTCATTGAGATGAAATTTCTTTTGAATTGAAGTAAGTGATTTTCGTTTCCATCGTCTTCATTGTTGACACCACAATAACAGAATCATAATGATGCAAGTTAGTGAACAAGATATGGTCATTTCTTAGATACTACAAGCCATTACCATAGAGATACCATTGTGAGCTACCTTAAAGGTGATGTTACACGAGACGATTCGCAATGACGATTTTCAGCGCAGCATAGCGTTGCAATGTTGGAACAATGTTGTAACAATTTGAAACAACATCGCAACAATGTTGTGTTGCAGTAAAAATCGTTGTTGCGAATCGTCTCATGTAACATCACCTTAAAACATCCTTTACAATGTCCTTTCACCTACTTTTTACAACCTTACACCAAGAGAGGATATTTATTTAACTTTACGTACTTGAATTGGCCTTTGAGCTGCAAGACCTTTACTGCAATTTTTTGTATAAGCAATTGTTTGATACATGTAATTCAAATTAACCTAATGACCATTTCCTTACAGAAAGATGAGTGGTCGGCAGATGATTTGAAGTAAAAAGCTTAGTCGGGGAAGCCACTGGAGGGCAATCAAGGAAAAGAAACCAAGAAACGTTACTCCCGTGTCCAGGTCAAGTCACAAAGATGAAATGGAGGAAATAACAACGTAAAGTAAAGGTAATGAGATTGTGTTTATAAAAAGAAGATGCCCTGAATGATATAGTGATAAATTGAGTCAGTTAAGATGCCTATGCATGTAGCTGTTACAGATCACACACAACCAAAAGTATTTCATTCAAGGCAAACTTCAGTCCCAATCGTTTTAAGTAGGTTAATTGTAAGACTAAGTTAATTACAGTCAGCCGATGATGTCATGACTTGACAGAATGACAGACTGACTGAGCAAAAATGGAAGGATGTGAGGAACAACTTGCGAGAGGGATGAAAATGCATCAGTGAATCACACCCAATAGTATTATGGCTTAACCAAAAGATGAACAATGATGGCATCGCAACTGATTTTATGCCATGAGACTAGGACTTTGCTCTAACAGGACCTGTTGGGCATTGCCAATATTTCATACCCCTCTAGTACAGAGTTTTAGTTTTTGCACAGAACTTTGTCTGCTAGAGACCCTTAATTTCATAGATTCAGAGATTAAGTGCTTCCTACAGGGGTCCCACGGGTCCTGATAACATACCTCCAAAGCTTTTAAAGCTAGCAGGCGATGCGATTGTCCCGTCACTCCTCAGCCTATTCCGACTCTCCATTACCACCGGTAGGGTGTTCACTAGCTGGAAAACTGCGAGGCTTACTCCAGTATATAAAAAGGACGATGAAACCGACTGCTGCAATTATAGACCGATATCATTGCTAAGCGTACCAAGCAAGATCCTTGAATCAGTAGTCAACGACACAATTGTTCGTCATGTATACAAAGCTAATAATCTAGTCACGGACAAACAATGGGCATACCGCGCAGGATTGGATTGGATTGCACGAAGTTGGAAAGGGACTTTGGCATATCAGGGCTACTCCTGGATTGGCTTAAAAGTTACTTGAAGGAAAGACAGCAATACACAGCTGTTAATGGATCAACTTCAGAGATGATACCGATCTCTTTTGGAATTCCTCAAGGGTCTGTCTTGGGGCCGACACTTTTCACTCTCTTCACGAACGATCTTCCGTCCTCAGTATCTTCCGGATCCGTCTATATGTTTGCCGACGACACAACGGTTTACTGCATAAGTGACACGGCAGAGAAAAGTATT